TTTTTTTTTTTTTTTTTTTTTTTTTTTTTTTTTTTTTTTGAGTGTTTCTAGAATCAACACTATGAGAGGACACTGTAGAAGGAAAATGAAATAGATATTGAGCTTCGATTTAGCCTATCTGCCTATTCGTCTCATAGTTAAACTTTTGATTTCTGTATTATTATACATTATTGGCAGAGTGGCATTTTATTGAGATCCCAAATAACAGTGGCTTAAGCAAGACAGAGGTTAATTCCTTTCTGATAAAAGTTTGATCTGGTAAAAAGGTTCTAATTTGAGAAAATATCAGGGATCCAGGTTTCTTACTATTTTTAGCTTGGCTGTCCCTGCAAGTTCCAGATGGCTCATCTCTGTGTCCAACAGGGAGAATATACTCACTCACTTTCTACAGCACAGCTGGGATTTGCACATATCATTTTTGTTCATATTCCCTTGACCTGACCTTTTCATGTGGCTCTACCAAATTGCAAGAGTGACTGACAAATCCTTTCTTCTGGGCAACCTTGTGATCACTACAAATTCTAATACTAAGGAAGATGGGCAGAATAGATATTAAGAGATACTAGCACCCTCTGACATAGCACCCTTGACTTCCATTTTTATACCACACATCCAACCCATCAGCAAATTCTGATGGCTGTACCTTTAAATTATATCCAGAATCTAACTATTTCTCACCACCCCTGTGGCTACCATGTTAGTCTAACTAACTACAGTCTCTTCTCTGGGTTTTTGCAGTAACTTCCTCAGTAGTCTACCTACTTTTTCTTTTACCCATCCAAACACATCTAGTTGTGCTTCACAAAACAGTTAGTATTACTGTTAAGGATAGAAATCAGATGATGTTGCTTTTGTCTAAATTCTTCAGTGGTTTTCCATTTGGCTCCAAGGAAAAGCCAGCACCCTCAAATTCTCCAGTGCGATGTGGCCCTACTACCTCATTACCTCTTCATCCCCTATTTCTTTTCCATGCTCTTTCTACTCCAATCGCAGTGGCCTTCTTGCTACTTCTTGAACATTCTAGGCAAAACCCCAGCCTGTTCTCTTGCACTTTCTACTTCCTCTGCCAGAAAGATCCTTTCCTGTTTATTCTCATAGCTTATTCTTTTAATTTTTTGTCAGTTTTCTTCCTAAGGTACATTCCAGTTGGCATTCTCTTCTTCATATGAGAGTCCCTATTTGCCTGACCCTTGCCAACAATAGCTATTATTGTTCTTTTCTACCTTTTCTATTGAAATCATCTCTTTAAAAAGTTACATCAGCTGCATTTAAAAAATGATATTTTAACTGAATTTAATTTTTTCATACTTTTTTCCACTTTTAGGTTGAATCTGATGCAGCACAGAACTATACTGTCTTCTACTCAATAAGTGGACGTGGAGTTGATCAAGAACCTTTAAATTTATTTTATATAGAAAGAGACACTGGAAATCTGTTTTGCACTCGGCCTGTGGATCGTGAAGAATATGATGTTTTTGATGTAGGACCTTTATTGATATGCCTGGCTTAAATTATTAAACTATGTTCCTTCTGATGCTTAATCCATCTACTCTTTCCTGTCTTCTTGCACTCTCTTCTTAGAGGGTATCTTAGAGTCAATGGAAAATAGAATGTGAAATGTTTTGGAATGCTTGGTCAGCTCTTTGTCTCAACTGTTGTTAGGTAAGACTGAAGTGAAGCAAAGAGGCTTAATATATGAACATAAATTTCAATGTATTTCAATGTAAATGTCAGTAAATTTCCAAACAGTTACTTTTGCTTATGAGATAATCTCGCTCTCTTTCTCACTAGTTACTGGTACCTTTCCCTCACTTCAAGACATGTCTATAGTTGATTGGAAGAGTCCTCTTTCTATACTGCTCTTACTTCCATTTTTGTCTTTCTTCCACACAGATGATTATTGGATCACATCTGAGAACCACATAAGAAAGTGAAAGTGGGAGACAAAACTCAAATAAGGGTTAATAAGGCAGTATTCTGATATGGATGGGAAGTAACTCAGATAATTTTTAGTATAGTATGGTAAATGCTGTGAGGCCATGTGTCATTCCTATGATTCTGATGGAATGATTACTGGAAAGAGAGATTCTGTTCCTTGAAAAAGAGGGAAAAGAGGCTGTGTAAGCAAACATGACTGCTGTACCCCATGTGACATGCTTTGCATTTGGTTAGAAAATGTTCAATTCAGTGTTGTAATCACATGCTGAATAGAAATATATTCAATTTACATTGCATTGCGTTTAATCAGCAATGGGGATATTAGTATATTTTGTCAGAAAAATTCTTACAAATATGTGGTCTACTAGATAAAATAATAACAGGGCTTGGTAGTAAAAATTGAGAATTGCTGCTTTATTTAGATGATGTAGTAGGAATTTCTCCCATTGCAGTGAGTTTAATTGTTCTCCCCAACATAGTTTTCTGATTATAGAGAGAATTTATATTCACATTTAATTCCTCAGTCTAACGGGCAGAGTCAGCCCTGACTTCACTGTACTCTGACCTAGGTTTTATTTGCAGTAGTGATTTCCTTCACATACTGGATGCTCTTTGCAGTAAAGTGTTTCTACATTTGGTGCTTTGATAATTAAAAACACAGTGAACACACACCAAAAACCTTCAAAATAGTTTATTGTTGAAAAGATCTGCAAAGCAGGTAGTAGATAAAACATCTTACTCTGTCTTGCCAGAATCTGACATTAACAGAACTGTCTTTTTGCTGTTTTGCAGTTGATTGCTTATGCGTCAACTGCAGATGGATATTCAGCAGATCAGCCTCTCCCACTGCCCATCAGAGTAGAGGATGAAAATGACAACCACCCTGTTTTCACAGAGGCAATTTATAATTTTGAAGTTTCAGAAAGTAGTAGACTTGGTAAGTCTGTTTTTAAGAATAAAAAGAATCATTTTCAACATGTCTGTGTACATTTTAAAAGACATTGAGCTTTTTATACTCAAGGCCAGATCAGCCTGAGATAACGTTGAACTAGCGTCTACTTACTAGAAAACACTTAATCCCATCAGTTTCAATCATATGTGCCTTACGCAGACAGTACAGAAGTTTTTGTTGTTGCCAATATGATACAAATTAACTGTAAAGGCAGCTAACAGTTATTTAAGCTTTGTATAATATTTAGTTCATATATTTTATTTCATTTTCTCATTATGTGGGTTTTTCATTATCCTCAACTCCAAGAGAGGACATGCAGGGTGGAATGAACAATAAAACTGAAATCAGTACTGTTTTTTTTTTTTTTTTTTAGGTTTTATTTGGGAGGGTGTTAAATGGCTTCCACTGAGGGTTCAATTTTTTTGTGCTTCTATTCTATTCATATTCTCTTCTCTTAAAACCACTACGTTGCTACTTCCCATTTAGAATGAATACTGGAGTAACTTCAGAGAAACTTACATCAAGTGTTCTCCATTCTAAACACTTGCTCTTACGTGTGGAAAACCGGAGTATTTAGTTTATTTGGCCCTTAAAATGTAGCACTTATAATGGCTTCTGAGAACTCCTGAGATTCGCAATATGGAGAATAACCACTCACAATAAAGTTAAAACAAGGAGGACTCAGTCATAAAGGATGACTTTGCTAATTTGCTTATTCAAGTTTCCAGTAGTTGCTTAGAGCCTCACTGCAATATTCTATCTGCCTTTTCCTTTATGTTTTCCTTTGTTAATTTGATGTCATAGATGTTAACCTCTTTATTACTCATGTGACACAGTTAAAAAATTTAAGAAATTATTGTTTTGGAGTGTAAGAAACCTAGTTTTGTTTTTTTTTTTTAATAAATTTTATTGTGTATAGTGGAGGTTTATAACATGATGTTATGAAATACACACAGATGGTAAAATAGCTACTATAGCATAGGAAACATAGTTTTTGATGTAGGGCATGTTACTAATTCATTGTGGGCACTCATGGAAGTCCCTTTTGGTTTTCTTACTTGTAAAAGGAGTTCGTTACATTAGATGATCTATAATATTTTTAGCTTCACAATTCTATGACATTACATTGTCGTTAATTAATTAGCAATGGGGTATGATTTTCCTTTTTCAAAAAGAGGTAATTGGTTTCAGGCTTTGTTAAGGATTCTGTTCTCTTCTGTAGTAACAGAGAAAAATAAAGGACAAACACTTTGATGCCCAGCTTAACCCAAGGTGCTTTAGGCACATTTTATCAGTAGGTTCAGACAAGTTAAGGCTGTAATACTAAACTGGTTTGGTAGAACAGATCAAAACAGGAAGCAGCAAAAAGATCATAGAAAGGAGAGGCTGGACTACTAAAGGTCAACTTGATCATCTATATTATAACTGCATACCCATAAAAATGTGATTATTAAGGAGACATGGTTTATTCCCCCAGCCAGGTTTGTTATTGAAATATGTGCAAATATGAATTCAAATTATTTTTATTGCCATTTAAATAATTTCCTTAGTAATTTATGATCAAATATTTTAAACTGTGTGCGGAACAAAAGTATATCTTAATTTTTAGCATCCAAGTGTTTTGTGTGATAAATTTGAAGTTATCTTCATCAGTCCTATCTAACACTGAAATAATAGTGCTGGCAATAAATACATTTTAAATTAGGTTTTCATCATCATTGTTAACATGTTAAGAATGTAGATACTTTTTAATATATTTAGCAATGCTGGAAACTAAAGGCTCTTTTATTTTTTAATGCGCAGGTACTACAGTGGGGGTGGTTTGTGCCACAGACAGAGATGAGCCGGACACAATGCACACACGTCTGAAATACAGCATTTTGGAGCAGACACCAAGATCTCCTGGGCGCTTTTCTGTGCATCCCAGCACAGGTGTAATCACCACGGTCTCTCATTATTTGGACAGAGAGGTATCTCACACACTCCACAGAATATCGTTTCTCTGAGGATTAAGCTTCCCTCTCCCATTTATTGTAATTTGCTATCCTGTGGATTAAGAGTTTAATTTTATTTTAGGCATAAGACAATAAGAATTCCTAACTTTTTTTCTGCTTTTAATATTATTTGTATTTCCTTATTTTAGAGTAGCTATAAGGAATAAGAAATACAGATCAATTGGGATTTAGAAGGGGTGTGGAAAGAAAAAAAATTGTTATAAAATGTTTTTTTCTTACATGTGCCTAGTTGGCTCCAGTTCAGCAAAGGTTTAAATTTTCAAGTAGGACAATAAGTTTTGCTTGTTCTATGAATGCAGATCATGTCCTGCTTTCTATTTTAATTATTATAGATACACTTTTAGTGGGGAAAATATTAATTGAAATAAAATTGATGGATTATTTAAAATATATAACACTTTTTGGATGATAGTAATAGCGTATTGTCATGTACATGGTACTTTATATTGAACTTCTTTTTGCCTTTTAGAATATTTTTGTTTGACTAGATAGGTGTTATATTCAATCTATAAAGGAGAAATATGACAGAATAATTGATTGACTTGCTCAAGTCAAATTATTGCACTGAATCTTTTTATATTTAGTTTTTATTGTTCTATTTTGTCAGCCTCCATTTAACTCAGAATCATGCATTATTGACAAAGGCAGATGAATCAATTTTATATGCACAAAATAGCTTTGTTGGAATAGTTCAGTGTTTCCCACTACAACTAGAATACCATAAAATATATTATAAATAAGCAATCAATGGGATTTGATGCCAAAGAAACAAAGAGGGATGGTAGGAATCTATAAAAAAAGACTCAGAAGTAGTACAAATGTTTTAATTATTGCTATTTTTATTTTTTATGGGACCAGGGCATTTCATGTTATAGATAAAATACACGAGGATAATCATAAGTGGGAAAGTTTTAAAGAGACAATCTGAATGTGCTTTTGTATCTGTGGAGTTTGTAGAGATGACATGGTAATCAAGTGAATAATTAAAACTGCAAGTTAACAGGCTTTAGTCATCACATTTTTCAAAATGAGGTTTGGAAAAATTAAATTTAGAGGTTCACAACTTGTAAGATACAGTTTTAGGGCCAAGCCCAGGTCTGTTACTTTCCTGAAGGAGAAAAAATCTACCAGGATTTTGTGGGCAACAATCATGGAGTGTTGAGGGGAAAAACATGAGAAGTAAAAGTCATGGGAGATAAAAAGCAATGAATTTAGAGGAAGAAAAACAGAATATCAGGGATTCTTAAAACATATGGGAAGAGCATTTTAAGGTGGGAATATTGGTTACTTTCTTTGTATTTTTTTCTTTTTCTTTCTTTCTTTCTTTTTTTTTTTTGAGATGGAGTCTTGCTTTGTTGCCCAGGCTGAAGTGCAATGGCACAATCATGGTGCACTGCATCCTCTACCTCCTGGGCTCAAACAATCCTCCCACCTCAGCCTCCTGAGTAGCTGAGATTACAGGACACACCACTATGCCTGGCTGATTTTTCTATTGTTTGTAGAGACAGGATTTTGCCACGCTGCCCAGTCTGGTCTCAACTCCTGTGCTCAAGCAATAAGTCTGCCTCAGCCTCCCAAAGTGTTGAAATTTACAGGTGTGAGCCATGGCGCCTGGCCAGAATATTGGTTTTCAGTGTGGAAGGGAGATCAAGTAAAATAAAGACTGAGGGAAGAGACAGACGGAAGTGAAAAATGAAGCAAAACAAAATAATAAAAGTGTGATGAAAGAATAGTAAGATAAAAGAGAAAGGCCACAAAGATGATTGGCCCACAAATTAATGACTTTGATTTGCCATCATCACACCAACTGCCAAATTTCATTGCCAAATCCAGCAGCAACCTTAAGTCCCTTCTACTGCTGACGCTTGTTAAAACTCTCTCTCCCCTTAGATTTCTGGTCTTCCTCCTGCTTCTCTGATCTTTCCTTTTTAGTGGCCTTTACATAGTCTTCTTATTCCCTCATGCTAGAAATGCTGTAGTTCCTTGTATCCTAGGCTCTTCTCATCCTGCAGTCTCTCCTCAATTGAATAATATTGATTCCTGCCATAATCTCAACCACCATCTACATACTGATGACTTCTGGATAGACATTTTTGGCCATGATCCCTTCCATACATATGAGGCCATATATCCAGGTGCCTTTTGGACTTTACTACTTAGATTTCCTTTAGGCACATAAGATTCGACATATGTAAAACAAAACTCAGTATTTCTACCCCTTTGCTAACCTCAGTAGTATTTACTTCCTCTGATAATTTTCCTCCTACATTCCTGCATTGTTTGGTAATGCCCCTATCTTCCTGTCTCTCCAAGTGAGACACCTTTACATCATTCTCAACCGCTTCTTTCTCTCTTAACTTGTGTATAGAATTTACTATTAAGTCCTACTCCATTCTAACTCCCAAGTAACTTTCCTGTTGTCCTTTCTCTTTGTCATTATTGCGACTGGCTCAGATTTGGGACATCTTATCCTATTTATTTGTTTTTTAGAGAAGAGATTTTGCTCTGTGGCTCAGGCTGAAGTGCAGTGGCATGATCATAGCTCACTGTTACCTCGAACTCCCATTTGAGGGTCTGCCCACCTCATCCTCTCAAGTAGCTTGGGAGTACAGACACACATCAACATGCCCAGCTAAATTTTTATTTTCGTAGAGAGATGAGGTCTTGCTACATTGCCCAGGCAAGTCTCAAACTCTTGGCCTCCAGTGAACCTTCTACCTTGGCCTCCCAAAGTGCTGAGACTACAGGCGTGAGTCACTGCACTGGCCCGGACCACCTGTTTTAGATGATCGCTGCAGGTTTTTTTTTTAAACTAATTGCTTTGATTTCTCAGTTTACTTCAAATTACACCAAAACTTAAGAATTTTTTTTTTTCTAAAACTCAAATATTCTTAATTTTGTGCTGCCTTTATGACTTCCAAAAATCTTTTCGCTACTACCTGTTACTTAAAGGTTAAGTATAATTTCTGAATATGGGTCTTGGTAATCTAATCTCTCCCTACCTTTTCAGCTTTATTCTTGTATACCAAATTCCTAGAGTCTGCGCAAATATAGAAATCAGGTAAAAGCACGGACACAGACACACACAGATGTGTGTGTGTGAGTGAGTGAGTGTGCAATTGAAGTTTCATTTATAAATCTAACAAAAATTGTTCAAGGCTAGTTAAATATTTGCTTTGTTTTCAGGTTGTAGACAAGTACTCATTGATAATGAAAGTACAAGACATGGATGGCCAGTTTTTTGGATTGATAGGCACATCAACTTGTATCATAACAGTAACAGATTCAAATGATAATGCACCTACTTTCAGACAAAAAGCTGTAAGTATATAATATCAAAATATGCCTCTGTCTTATCTACTGTCATTTTTTATTTAAATTGAATTAATAAAATTAATACAACATAAAATATCATACTTTGAAGTATATGTATTTTATGAATAAAATTAAAGTTTAAACAAATGACATGTAAATTTATTTATATTAGTGCTTCTATTATGTCCCTTTTGTTAAAGACCAGTAACATTAGTCTTCATTTGTAATGAAACTCTTCTTTTATTTAAAGATAACCCTTAATGAAACAATAGTGTTTGTGATTCGTAGTTTTAAAATAATCTATGTGAAATTATAATGGTAAGTATTTTTGGAATCACTTTTTTTTTGTAAAAGTTGTCTATAAAGTAAAATTTTAATTTTCAATGACTTCTTTCTGTTTCAGTATGAGGCATTTGTAGAGGAAAATGTATTCAATGTGGAAATCTTGCGAATATCTATAGAAGATAAGGATTTAATTAATACTGCCAATTGGAGAGCCAATTTTACCATTTTAAAGGGAAATGAAAATGGACATTTCAAAATCAGCACAGACAAAGGAACTAATGAAGGCGTTCTTTGTGTTGTAAAGGTACAGTAATGTGTAACTGACAACTTCGCAAATTAACTGGTTTTAGTTAACTAATAATTTAATCAACTAAATAGTTTCAGATCATAGACTCTGCTAGTTGGAAGAGAATTTAAAATCTATTTAAACCACTATTCCAATCTCATGCCTGTCTGTCTTCTGTAATTTTATTGCCAGTTGCTAGTCACTAGCTTCTGCTTGAACATTCTCATTTTTAAGGATCTCCATGGCTCCACTGGCCACTTATTCCACATTTGAAACACTTTGGTTCTCAGAAATTCTTCCTTCTACTATGCACAGGTTATTCTTTTTATAACTCAGGCATTTGGTTCTAATTCTTCCTCTAATGCTATTCAGAACAGGTATAATTCTTTTGAAAAGTCTGCTGTGTTCATTTGAGACTTACCTTTTGTAGGATAAATATTCTCAATTTCTTAATTCTTACATGATGTGACATAGAAGCCCAGATTCTTCTCATTTTTTCTTTAATATATGCCTGGTTGTATCTGATCCTTGTAAAGGTAAAATTGACCCTTGTAAAGGTAATGTTGACAATGAAATTTAGTGTTACCTCAGGCAGCACTGAACAAACCTATTTTTTATTCAATATGTTGTATATTTGGTTGTCCTGGTACATTCTAGGCTCCAGGTTATGAGGATAGGAAAGGATATGTTTGAAAATGATCATTGGTTTTATACTTCTAGCTCAGAACAATAACAACAAAAAATTGTCTTGTGGACAAGAATGGGGTCATTCATTGAGTGAAAGAGGCTTATCTGCCAAAAATAGTACAGTAGCATCTTTGGTACATAAACACCTCTATTTGGAGTTATTACCTCAGTAAAAATTTCCAAGGGTCATATATTAAGACTTGGCAAGTTCTGCCCATATGTGAAGAGTCAAGTATAGACTCTTGACATCAAGCCTCCCTATTTTATTTTTCTATGTGATCTGCTTAAATTGAATACTAAACACCAAGTACTTAAAAAAACACACTATGCTTTATAGTTCAGAATAATAGGAAAGGAAATAAGGAAATGATACTGATTGCTTTTATTTTTTATTAGTCCAAATCAATCTGGTCATTATCTGGACTCTCTAGAAAGCAGAGTGCAAGACAAAGACCTGAACATGGGTAGATATTTAGGAATTGGGTCCCAGGAAGCCAATGTTAAGGTAGGGAAATAAGACAGGGAAGGAGGAAAAGCCAATCCATTCTGCATTATTGAGCCAGTCATCTTTGGTGTCTATCCATTCATGAAACCAGGTAGAACTTACCTTATATTTATTTTCTCAAAGATGGATACCTGGGACATTTACCCTTCACATCCCTTCTCGGTAACCAGACTCCACAGGTTGAAGGTTTCCCCCAGAGAGCCTTAAATTCACCTAACTTCTGGATTGGGCTGTGCCTGCTGTCTGCTGAGGGAGCCCTCTGGTTTTAGTGGGAACCCCGAATCTGAAAAGCCAAATCTTTGAGTGCTTGAGATGTGAATCTCTCAGCACACATGGGAACTGGCTGAGGGTCTGTGGTGTATAATTGTTCTGAAAAGGGCTGCTGTATTATCTCATGCAGTTTCCAAGGCTGAACACTTACCTACCACTGGCATTTTTGTCAAATTGATATGATTACAACAGACATTTTGTTGAAGGTTCTCCTGGACACCCTTCTCCCCTCTTCCTCCTGATGTAGGAGAATCCCCAAATTGGGGCTCAGCCCAGAGGGTTCCTGGCTTCACCCAGATAAGAATTCAAGAGCAAGACAACAGAGTAAAGTGAAAACAAAGCAAGTTTATTAGAGCAACAGAGTGCAGGGAAATGGTTGCTCCACAGACAGAGAAGGGTTACTCCTCAGGCAGAGTAGCAATTGTGGATTGCTGGCTAGCTGTATGTATAGCTACTCCTTAATTACATGCTAAATAAGGGGTGCGTTATTCATGAATTTTCTAGAAAAGGGGAAGGAGTTTCTGGAACTGAAGGTTTCTCCCCTTTTAGATAATATAAGATAAATTGGGCATTACCATGGCATTTGTAAACCATCACAGAGCTTGTGGAAATGTCTTTTAGCATGCTAATGCATTATAATTAGCATAAAACGAGGATTGAGGCCAACTAGAGGTCTCTCTCATCATCTTCTTGGTTTTAACTGATTGTGGCTGGTTTTTTGACTGCATGCTGTTCTAACCAGCAGGGTCATGATTGGTGCTTAGAAAACAAATCTTGATGATCTCCCATCTCCCCTTCACCAAACCTTGGCTTCTCCTATAAATAAGTCAAAGAATATTTCAAGATTTGGGGGAGATAGACGATGCTAACTAACTCCAGTAGGTTCTGTCAGAGACCCAAGCTCAGACCTTTTGGTGTGCTGTCTATCTGCTCCTTGGTCAGATGGCAGCTCCTCCAGTCTCCCTCAAGACCTTTACTCAAGATCTGTATGGGGAAACTCTATATCATTATCATTATTATTTAATATCAGTGGTTTTGTCTCACTTAGAGGAGCTAAAATTTAAAAAGCACTAGGAATTAAATTTCCATTTGCAAGTTTTTTTTGACCAATACAAAATGATCTCTAGTAAACTTCTTCAAAAGATCATCCTCTAATTTTTAAAAAGATCTAATCAATGAGTATATGTACTCAGGGTTCTTTTGTATGTTTTTTTGTCCAAGGAGTTCTGACCATAGATATAGTAAGGAAAAAACGTACAAAGGTGATTGGAAGTTATAACCTATATCCTGGAATATTTCTCATTCCATGTGGCTTATACACATTTGCTTCATTTCTGCATAGCACTCCAGGATTCTCCAGAATAGGGAGCAGTTACATAATAATACTTTACTGGTTTGTTTTTGGTTCAGATTAACCTAATTTCACATCTGGAGGATATCAAAAATTTCCCCAATATATTTTGTATACACTTATTTTCATTATTTTAAAACATAAGATAGTTGCCCTTATGTTTGATATTATGTCCTAGTTTCTACATCAAGGAAATACTTTTAATGCTTTTAGAATTTTAAAAGTAGTTACCATGAATCAAATTTCTTTTATGTCACAGAAAATGCTAGGCACTTTTAAGTTGTACATAGTTGTCATATCCCTATATGATAAGGTCTTATTATCCCTATTTTACATTGATTAAAAAAAAAAAAAGCAAACTCCCAAAACACAACCACCATCTAAGGCTGATTAAGGTAAATAACTTCCTCAAAGTCAAGCATATATTAACTATCCTCCCTGGAATACAAACCTGGTCTGTTTTGTTCCAAAATTAATTCTCTTTCCATTACTGTGTGCTATGCTTCATTAAGCCCACATGGCAGTTTGTATTCAGTGTCACAGAATCTATTGTATCTGCAGCCCTTATAATGAAATTCAATTATATTCTCAAATTCATACTTAATATTAAATGCAAATTAACAACAATGGCTAATATTTATTATTTATTAAATGCCAGACATTATGCCAAGTGCTTAGCCTATAGTATCTCATTTAATTGTTTTAAATATCAACAGATTATTTATTACATTTATTTAGTAATAAAACCAGTAATTTTAAATTTTTCAGTAAGCAGTTCATTAGTTCAAAGTTCAAAAGAAACAAAAGTACAAAATTCAAAAGAAAGAAAAATCATGGTGTAAAGCATCTCACTTTTAAAAAGTCAGCCACTCAGTTCTGCTTGGAAGAATTAATACATGCCACCTGTTTCCTGTATATTATTCAAAAGGTATTTTATAAATACACAAACATGTTTCAGTAATCTTATCATATTTCTGTTTTAAAAACAAATGCATTTTACTTCAATTACCATATCTCTTGAGTTCATTACATATACATCAGTAATATTTCATAGTATAGGCATACCATATTTTTTTAACCAGTTCCATATCTATGGAAGTTTAGACCACACTCATGGATATTCTGTATTCTGTGCTATTCTTCATTCAACAACTTTTCTCTGAAATCATTACATATCAGAAGGTAAATAGTTTTTTTACAGCTATCTATTTTAGTAATTACAGTAAAATATCCATCATATGAATGTAAATTATTATTTAACTAGTTCATTATAAATGGAAATTTAAATCATATCAATGGATTTTCTAATTTTTTTCATTATTTCACAATATATGACAATGGATATACTATAATTTAAATGTAGGATAAATTTCTAGAAATGGAAATACTTAGCCAAGGACATGGCTGTTTTTTCTGTGGTGGATTTATTGCCTGATTGTCCCCCAGAAAGGTGGTGCGTGTTGACTTGCTCACTAGAAATGTACACACGTGCCTGTTGTAAAATAATTGCCAATGATATTATCAAGTTTTGACATTTATCAGTTGAATGGCAAGAAAATGGTGTTTCAGTGTGGTTGAACATTCCCCTTATATGAAGAAACTATTGAATATATTTTATATCTTCAAGCTCACTAGTCCTTTTAGCAACTTTCTATGTTTTGCTCTTCTCATCTACTAACTATTTATTTGTAAGGGTTTTATGGTAGGAAATAGTTTTGCAAATATTTTCACCTATTTTTATTGTTTCATTAGTTTGCTTTTGTTGGTTTTTGACCTCTAGGATTTGTTTTGTTGGCAGGGCTTGCAATTTATCAGGGGCTCATAATTTATCACAATTTATTCTAGGTCACAATTTATCCGAGGCTTCTATGGTTGTGAGATTTGTGTCATTATCATGATATTAACATTATGAAAGTATTTTATCTGAAATTTTTTTTATTGTTTAAATATCTATCTATCCATTTAAATTTTTAATCTGCATGGAATTTATCTTAGAACAAAATATAATATGAATCTGTTTTTAGTTTTTCTATCTGTTCCAACACAATTCATTGAATAATACATTTACTCTCCAGGTTTTGACATATTTTCTTTGTTATAAAATAAGATAGATATATATTTGAATTTGTTTTTGACATCCTCTTTTGTACCATTAATTTATTGTTTATTAATTTGCATATATATGCTGCTGTATTATTGCTAGCTATGTAAGAATATAAAATGCATAATATGCATTTTAGTATTTGCAGTGTTTTATGCCAGTCTTATGTAGTGCTCTCCTTTGTGGATTTTTTCTTATGAGTATCTTGCTTGTTCTTCCATGTGAACTTTCAAATTGTCTTCTAAGTTTAAAAATATCTCTTTTGATGTTTTTACAATTATGTTAATTTTGTAGAAAAAGTTGGGGAGAATTAGCATTTTTCTCATAAGTCATACCCAAGATAGTAATTTCATTTTTTTCAGCTATTGTGTCTAATTTCTGAATAGGATATACATCCATATTAACAAAAGGGATTTATCCATAGTTTTTCCTTTTGTATAGTCGCTATTAAGTTTTTACTATCAATTTTATGCTTGCTTCATAAAAATAATTTATTTTCCTTCTTTTTTCCCATGCTCTGAAACAGTGTCCCCCCCAAAAAACCAAACCACATTGAATTAAAAAATTTATTCATCCTTTCAAAACAACTCCATGTGGTTGTTACTCTCATTCTTCTCATTTCCAGATGAGTAGGTTGAACAAAAGAGAAGCAACATGCAGCAGCCCATACAGCTAGGCTAGGTGATTTGTACCCCACAGTCAGGTGCTGAATGTCCAGACTATCTAGGAGTGATAACTCTGTTCTTACAGCCAAGATACAAACCCAGATCTGTCTGATGTGAAGCTCTTACTCATGATCTCTGGGCTGTTCTCCTTCTGGCTTGGTATCCTTGCTTCCCTTATGTATCCTCTTTTCCATACTTGGGCTACTTAACTTGACAAAGCCATTACTTCATTTGCACAAGAGGATCTTCTCTTTTTGGAAACTTAATTCATTTCTACATTTGTGAGTTTACTTTTTAAATTATATCTTCTTCTGATATTACTAGCTCCTTTGCTAATCATGCCTTCTCTTTTCCTTTGAGTCATTCATACTATTTGCTAACATTTTGATTAATAAAATTTGCTTCTGCCATGTTATGTTTTCCTTTTCATACTTTATACAAACCCTTAGAAAACCTGAATTTATCACAGGGCTCCTTTGATAGCCATGCTAGTCTTCGAAAGTATCTTACTTGTTTTCTTGGGAAAGAGTTGTGATTTTGTGGCTAAATCATATCTTTAAGTACTTTTTAATGTTAGTGAGTCATCTTTTATTTCAAAATCAAACACTGTAAAATCAGGGTGTTCAAAACACATCTTTCTGTCACATAGGCTATGTACCTAATGATGACTAACCTTTTGCGTACTGATTAAATAATTACATCACTATGTTGTTAACTCAAAAGGAATCCTTCTTTTCTGATGCCCTGGCTCTTTCTTACTAGTCAGAATTATATTCAGGGAAAGAGTGTATGTTATTCCTTCCTTTATACCTCAAAGAATTAAGTAATCAGTAGGCCAAACCAAGAATTGCTCTTTTACATTTCTTTTAGCTGATTAAAGCTTGCAAACATTGTCTTGTTAACTTCTCTTATTATTGCATTATATTGGCTGTTAACAAAAAATACATCATTTATTCCCTTCATTTGCCTCTGTGACAGCTTAAGTGATTACTCAGAATTTAATAGAAAGCGCTTATTTTATGCTGTAGTGTTAAATGTCATTCTTGCAACAATTTCACAGAAGAGAAAAGTTAAAGAGACTAAAAACTTTCCCAAAGCCACACAGCTAGGATGTAGTGTAGACAGAATTTGAACCTAGCGCTTTGATTCTAAGTATATGCTGTCAAGCACTATGTTAAATTGTTCTCCACAGCTGTGTGATCTTGGAAAGCTATCCTTTGTATTAGCTGTAAAATGGGAACAATTATTTCTCTCTGCCTCCCTAATAGCTCTTCAAATATAATATTGAACATAAAAGCACTTGGTAAACTGTAGAATATTATTATTTTATTTTAAAAAGTGATATTATATTCTTGAGACTAGTGTTATAAAATTCCAGGATAGATAACTTTTCTATAACCACAAAGGATGAGTGATAACAGCCTTTTGCTGAGTCCTGGGTAAACTCATTCCATCTCAGTGTCTTCTGTTCATTTGAGCAGCAGCAGTGGTGCATATGGGCTTGAGTGAGGATGTTATTCTTGATCTTTCTGAACATGGAGGGTCCTCAGTTCCATTTCCACAACTATACATTTGCAAGGGAGTTGTTAACATCTCAGTGCAAATGTGGGATATATTTGAACACTTTTTTAAGTGGTGAAACACTTGTGAAACCTGAGTGGAAGAGAATTTACATGCCTTCCTTTTAATTAATGGGATTAATTAAGCCCATTAATCTTTGGGATTTCATCTCACCAGATTTTTAATGTAGAAGAGTTTTAAGCTACTAGGGCAATATCCATTATAAGCTTTGAAAAATTGGACAAAGAAACTCTAAGGCTTCAGCAAGTGGTTCTGGATTGAATAGTTGCACCTCCTCCAGTGCAGCAGCTGTCCTCTAAATTTCCATCCATTTCTCATTGCCAGCAGCTGCTCTACTCTCCGTGTGATCACACCAACACATGAAATTTGTGAAGCAGTGTTCATCAGCATCAAATGAACAGATATTAATATTGCTTTTCCTTGGCTCTCCAGTTCTGGAATATTCATACAAAATAAAAAAGGTTTTCCATACATTTTGTAGATTCTAAGATTCAGAAATTTTCTTGACTTTTTAGTGGATTTGTGATACTAGTGTCTTACTCCGTTAATACCTAGGTGTGGAGAAATATTTAAAATAATTTTATTCACCAGTTTTGATTTTGTTCAATATTTAGTTAGTGATTGTTTTGATAAGCAGGAAGAGAAATTGAAGAAAAAGTGCTTCAACTTTGTGGTACAGTGTAAAATAATGTTTTATGGGTTTTACTTGATTTGTTATCTAAAACTGAATTTTAGTCAAAGATTGATTTGAAAATGTTTTGGAGACCAGTAAGCCAATTAAGCAGCACAGTATACAGAGGGATTATAGCGTGGCTAAGGTAAGGGACTCAGGTTGGACTACCTAGCTTCAAAGTCAAGTGCAAGTGATAATCTTTTGGCCTTACACAAAATCAATTTATCTCCTTTTCCTGTTTTCTGCTCTGTAAAATGAGGATGAGGTCGATAAAACTTATTCCATAATAACATGAGGATTTAGTGAGCTTATTTTCACTGCTTAGAGTAGTGCCTTATATGCAGTGATAATTAAAATTAAGCACATTGTATTTCCCTTACTTCTCTGTGTATTCACTGTGAAAGTTTCATTGGATAAATTATAAAGTCAAAGTATAATTCTCAAGTTTTCAAAAATGTAATTTTCATAAAAATAGGTAGTGGGCATGGATGAGTAAAGGTTTTAACTCATTCGTGAAGGAACCAGCAAAAGAACAAGTTGATTCCTAAGAAGAAATTAGCCTCCAAATGGATTTTGATAAAAGTAAAAGCAGAAATTAGATGGCTCAGTTAGATGCCTTAGAGGGCAATTAAAACAGACATTTGGGGCCAGGAGTGGTGGTTCACGCTTGTAATCCCAACATTTTGGGACGTTGAGGCAGGTGGATCATCTGAGTTCATGAGTTCGAGGCCAGCCTGGCCAAGATAGCAGAACCCCATCTCTACTAAAGAAAAAAGTACAAAAATTAGCTGGGGGTGGCAGCATGTGACTGTAGTCCCAGCTACATGGGAGGCTGAGGCAGGAGAATCACTTGAACCCGAGAGGCAGAGGCTGCAGTGAGCCAAGATCGCGCCACTGCACTCCAACCTAGGTGACAGAGCAAGGCAAGACTCCGTCTCAATAAATAAATAAATAAATAAATAAATAAATAAATAAAATACCAAGACATTTGGAATATCTTTTCTATCAGACAGAAAATAAAATCATTGCAACTTTTTGATTTTCTGAAAGTCAACATCAAACTTTACAAGTGCCATAAAATGCCTGGACCATAGTCAGTAGTAACTAATAAGCCAAAGGAAGGCACCTTCCCTTACTCAGATGACCCTTAGCCCAGTCTGTTAGACAATGCTCCAAGTAGGGCCATGAGAATACTGTCATCTGTTTGCATTATTTTTTGAATCAGAAAGTTTTCCTTAATAAGAGCAAAATGTAAAAATATTTCAGGAATTTCTTTTGTCCAACTCTATAAAACCACCTGCAGAAGCTTTGGGACCACTCTTGCTAAAGGCTTAGCCCCGGATCCACTCTCTTTTTAGCAAGGGATAAGAGTCAGTATTAACAATGTGAGCATAGAATTTATGCAGCACTGGTCAGAACGACAAATTTCCATTTGCTATTTGAAATACCAAATGTATTTTACACTGTTACTAATATACATGGACTTTACTTTAAAGCCACTGAATTATGAAGAAAACCGTCAAGTGAACCTGGAAATTGGAGTAAGCAATGAAGTGCCATTCGCGAGAGATATACCCAGAGTGACAGCCTTGAACAGAGCCTTGGTTACAGTTCATGTGAGGGATCTGGATGAGGGGCCTGAATGCAGCCCTGCAGCCCAATTTGTGCGGATTAAAGAAAACTTAGCAGTGGGGTCAAAGATCAATGGCTATAAGGCATATGACCCTGACTCTAGAAGTAGCAATGGTTTAAGGTAAAAAGAAATCTGTAACCACATACTAATAATGTATTTGTAATCATTGAGATAGTAGCTTATTTGAAAACAGTTTCTAGTGCTAAAGACTTTTTATTTTTTATTAACAGGTACAAAAAATTGCATGACCCTAAAGGTTGGATCACCATTGATGAAATATCAGGGTCAATCATAACTTCCAAAACCCTGGATAGGGAGGTCGAAACTCCCAAAAATGAGTTGTATAATATTACAGTCCTGGTGATAGACCAAGGTAAAAAAAATGTTTTACTCTGGTATTTAATAAAGGAATTAGAGAATAAAATGCAACTATTTTTATGCAGATTTTTTTTTTTTTTTTGGTGGTAAGCATATGGAATTTGAAATTACTTTAAAGACTCTTTCTGTCTCTTCTAATTATCTAACAAGGTGAAACTGTTTGGTGACAAGAGGCCATGTTTTATTTATCTTTATATTCCCAGTAGGGTAAGACCTTAAATTCTTATATATTTCTGTGCTAGAGGACAAAGGTAAAACCTAACATCTAAAATTAAATAAAATGGTCTCACCAGACTCTTCCACATCAGTTTGTATCACTTCAAATTGAGCTTTTGTGTAGTTCAGCTGAATATTAGGTCAAAATGATCCTTTTCTTGAATTCTGTTCCTTAAAGTAACCCAGAGTTTTTCAACCCTGTCTTCATATTAAAATAAGAATATTAATCTGTAGATACTTTGTTAGACTAATGGAATCAGAATCTCCGGTTGTGGAGCCTGGGAATCTTATATTTAAGAAAAAATCTTCCTAGTGCTATGAATATCTACTGGGATTAGAAATCTTGTCTGTAACTACGTTACTACTTATTAACATCTGCACTTGGAATCCCCAAAAATAGAGATTGAAATTCAGACTTTTATTTTTATTTGGTTGCAATCCTGGTAAAAGATTTATTGACAGTGGCATCTGATACTATTACTAACAATAGTCATTTCAGATAATCTGCAAATTCTATTTATCCATCTATTATTATTTATTTACCATTTCCTTTAATAATCAGTTTACTTAAAAACACATATCATATATAGAATATAATGGACTTTTTATTCTTTAAGAAAAAATAAAAGAATTTTAAAATAACACTAAACCTTATTCCTTTCTCCTTAGATAACAGATCATGTACTGGAACACTTGCTGTGGACATTGAAGATGTAAATGATAATCCGCCCGATATACTTCAAGACTATGTAGTAATCTGCAAACCAAAAATGGAGTACACTGACATTTTAGCTATTGATCCCGATGAACCCGTCCATGGAGCTCCATTTTATTTCAGTTTGCCAAACACTTCTCCAGAAGCCAATAGACTGTGGACCCTCACCAAAGTTAATGGTATTTGGTCAAAAATAATGTTTTATAAACTCTGAAATAACTGAGAATAACTGGAGGGTGGATTTACTTATTTATTTACACAATGCATGAAGTAAAACTGATTCTCATTAATATATTTTAGAAGGCTAAACTAAACTTTTCCAAATATTGTATGGGAGCTCTGTTATAGGTAAAGTAAAGGAAATTATAATTTTCATGAAGGCAAAATTTAAATTCACAACAAATAAAACCTTTGTTAAGCAGCTTATCATTAATTTTTGTTTGTGTATGTTTTAAAAAGTAAAGCCAGTGGCTGGGCATGGTGGCTCATGCCTGTAATCCCAGCACTCGGGGAGGCTGAGGCAGGTGGATCACTTGAGGTCAGGAGTTCAAGACCAGCCTGGCCAACATGGTGAAACTCCATCTCTACTAAAAATACAAAAATTAGCCCAGCGTAGTGGCGCATGCCTATAATCCCAGCTACTTGGGAAGCTGAGGCAGGAGAATCACTTAAACTCAGGAGGCAGAAGTTGCAGTAAGCCGAGATTGCACCACTGCACCCCAGCCTGGGAGACAGAGTGAGACTCCGTCTCAAAATAATAATAATAATAATAATAATAATAATAATAATGACACCAGTGAGGTGAGGAGAGAGCAGATGTGTAGTGTAAAGTGTATTGTAAGCTCACTCTGGAAGTGAGGAACCCAGGTTTCTAGACCAAGCACTCTGGGGTATCTTGGAAGTGAACTTGGTGCGTTATGGGAAGAGATATGGAAAGGAGTGTTCAGGTCAGGGGCTGCCATCTATTGTAGCAGTTTCTGGGGGTGTCATGTTCTGTACTTCATCCATACTTCTCTCTGTTGTTACTGCCATGTTCTTTCATGCAACTGGGCTTTTGTGTGTATGGCCCCATCTACTTAGAATACCTCTCTTTCCATTTCTTAGCTTGATATTTATGAGCATGACTTTTTTCCATGATATTTATGAGCACCTACTATCTATTAGGCACTAGTCCAGATCCTGAGGGTTTATATAGACATGAACAAGACAGGCACAATCCCAGCTGAGATGGTTGAATTGAAAGGAATGGCACCATGACCCTTTGCTACCTGCATTGCAATGCCTTTCCTGTTGCATTTACATCTGATTACCTCTCCCTTCCAATACATGAGTTTCCTAGAACATTTACAATCCATCTTTGTACTTCCAACACCTAGCCTAATGCTTACTAGATACTAACTGCTTAAGGAATGTTTGCTTATTCAATAATTAATTGTGTGGATAAAAGGAGAAACATACTAGGAGAATAAGTACATCATGTCATTAGAGTTGAGAAGGCTTTACTCAGAATGCCAAGAGGTTGGGTGAAGGAAGGGTGGAATCTGGTGGTGAATGGCCTGTGTGCCAGGCTGAGGGGACTAACCTTGGTACAGTAGGTGACAGTAGTTATGCATTGGAAATGTGCAAGTAAGGCAATGACATTCCCAGATTTATGTCTTTTAAAGGGGACACTGGTGACAGGAGGACAATATGAAGGGGGCAGAGTTGAGTAAAGGAAAATCAGAGGCCAATGCACTACTGTGAATAACTAAGACATGAATATGGCTCCACATGTTGTCTTGAGGGCGGGGAGGGATTTCAGGGATCTTACCTTAGACACGGTGTGGTCTTGAAGGGTCCTACATAAACCCAAGTGGTAATTCATATTCCTCTGGGAAGTCTTCAGGTATGAGGTGCAGCCAAAATCTCTGAAATTTTTACAGCCACAGCAGAGCATTTAATCAAGGCTAAGGAATTCCAGATGACTTCCGGGGTGTGTTTTGTGCTACTTTGCCATTTTACTTAGTCTATTATAAAAGCTCAGGTACGTTGTAATTGCCATTGAAATTCTGTGGAGCTTTTAGTTAGTTGGAAATATGGTCATCAAAATAAGAGACCAAGACTATTGGGGAAAATAGACTATCACAGTTGATAAAAACAAATTGTTATATAGATATTTCTGTTTTGTGTAAGTCTTATAAGTAGCCTGAGTGCATTAATTAGCTTCTGATACTAAGATTACTTACAGATGCAAGGCATTAATCATAAACAATCTATTGTGCATTGAAAAATTACCTTATCCATATGAATAATGGGCAAATACTAGGTCAATGGATAAGAGAATGTGAACTTCAGACACTATTTGTGTGTACCTGTAGTCATTAATTCTTTATGAGTAGATACACTGGTACTAAAGAAAAATGCTAGAAGTGTATGTTAACAGCCAAAATAACATTATTAATTTGTATAGATAAATATTACTAGGCTGCTACTGGGCCACTCCAATGCCAAATTATTTCTTTAGGACTCCCTTCTATGGAATTACAAGGGACAACACATACAAGGTAATTTTAGAGTTTGAAAAGGTTGAAGATAGCCCTCCATTTTTATTTATTTTCATGTGGCAGGCAGTTCCTTGAGAATGATGCCTTCAAAAACAAGCATGATGAAACAAATGCTAAGGGAAAACTGAATGATCATTAAAAAATTAACTTCTTTTATTTTCTTTCAGATACAGCTGCCCGTCTTTCATATCGGAAAAATGCTGGATTTCAAAAATATACCATTCCTATTACTGTAAAAGACAGGGCAGGCCAATCTGCAACAAAAATGTTGACAGTTAATCTATGTGATTGTCCTCATCCAAGTCAGTGTCGTGAGACTTCAAGGAGTACAGGAGTAATACTTGGAAAATGGGCAATTCTTGCGATATTACTGGGTATAGCACTGCTCTTTTGTAAGTATTTTCACTTACTTCAAGTTAAAATATGTAATAAAAATTGTAGGTACTGGAAAAGATCTTTAAAAAAGAATCTTGTCCAAACAACCACCAGGTGTGAAGCTCTTTCCAAGTTCTTTTTGTGTTATTACCTAAGTTTTGTTTGAATATTTTTTGTGAAGGGAACATGATCCTTCTTGAGATAAGATTTTATGCTTAGACAGAATTGTTGAAAATTCCTTAGATTTCACTGAATCTGACAAACAAAGAGCCTTTGTTTCTTGTTTCCGGTGGGATTCCTTTTAGGGCTAAATAGAACAACCTAAAATTTCTGCCTTATGAAAGTCCACTAAAAGCCACTTTCATTCCATATCTTCTTACCATTTAGCCACAGAGTTACAGGAGATGTTCTGTTCTCAGCAATGTCTCTTCTTGGGTGTATCTTGCCAATTTTAAATTCTGTTAACCTCTTTCTTACCAGAGATAGCTCCTGATGGTGCTATACTTTTTCTTCTCTTTTTAGTTCCATTCAGTCCTCCAGCCTAGATTAGCTTTGTTTTGTGATAGGAGTAGAAGTTAATTGCAAGTACTCAGGAATCAGACTGCCTGAGTTTGTACTCCAGCTTCACTTGTAAGCCGTTTACCTATGCTTCAGTTTCCTCATCTGTAAAAGAGGAAATTGTAGTAGCTCACCATATGGTGTAGCAGGATTAAATGAGGTAATGCACGTAAAGTGCTTAGAACAGTATATAGTAAATTTCTAATGTGTACATGATTTTTCATCAAGCCAAAAAGTAAACATATATCAAACTCCTACTGTAGGCAAGAAACTATTCTAGGTGCTTGTGAAAAATAGGAAAAGGCAAACAAACAAACAAACAAAAACAATCAATCTGCCTTGTGACAGTTAATGAATAAATTAAATGCTATGGAAGAAAAAAAAAAGAGAGCCAAATAATTAGGATCTGTAGCACCATGGAGTGTGTTTGTGAGGGTGTTGGTGCCAGTGGCTGCAATTTTCAATAAAGAGTTAGGTCAGGCCTGAGAAGATTATTTTTTAATCATTTCTGGAAGAGGTGAATTAGGCAGGTGGAATGCCTGGGGGAACAACTTTCAGTCAGAGAGGGAAGTCAAATGCCAAGGCCCTAATTTGTGATGATGTCTGGAGAAACCAAGGAATGGTAGGGAAACCAGTGTGGTGAGACAGTAGTGGACAAGGGAAGAGGATTAGGAAGTGGAGCCCGGAAGGAAGGGGGGCCACATAGAGTAGGCAGGAGTTGGCACACTTTTTCTGTAAAGAACCAGATAGTATATATTTCAAGCTCTGCAGATCCTATGTTCTCCATTGTATCCAATTTTATGTCATTTTCACATTATAAATTCTTATTCTTCTGAATTTTTTCCACCATTTGAAAATAAAAGGTCTTAGTTCACAGGCCATACAAAAATATGTAGTGGTCTGGGTTTGGGGATTTTGCCAGTGCATTATCTGGTCTTTTAGACAGGAAGAATTGTTATTGTTATTATTCTTAGTTTAATTATCATATATTTTCAATCTCCCACAATTATAGTTTAGAATAAGAATTCTAAATAGGCAAAATACAAAGTAGGTTCAATTAAGATAAATATTTTCTAGGAAAACAGTCTTTATTTTCATGTTTTTATATACACAAACCATTCTCTTTTCACATTTTCACGTAGGAAATTTTTTTTGGGGGAAATCACTAAATTTTTTTCAAAGTCTTTGTCTTAAATGTCAGTGATTTTTTTCTTTATATACTGCTTAACTCATGATTCTAAGTACTTTATCTTGATGGGCACAATTCAAACAATTAGAGAGATACAATGAAAAAATACAGATAATTACTTCAGATTCTAAAATCTAAGCTACATGGTAACACATTAACACAGCCAAGATAATTCATGGGAAACCATGCTTAGTGGCTTAATTTTCCACTTTGATCATTAGGTCATAAGAAGTAAATTATGAATATTTTATCCTATGTATGCTAAAGTGAGTTCTTTTTATTTTTAAATTCAGCTGTATTGCTAACTTTAGTATGTGGAGTTTTTGGTGCAACTAAAGGGAAACGCTTTCCTGAAGATTTAGCACAGCAAAACTTAATTATATCAAACACAGAAGCACCTGGAGATGACAGAGTGGTAAGTATTTTTTAAATGAATATGTGTTTGTATCTCCCCTATTTTCTCTAATTCATCGTTACAAACTCATTTCAAAATGTAGGAGTTAATTTTTATTTTTAATTGAATCACATTTAGTAGGCATAATTACTTTGTCTGTCAATATTCTAATGTTTATATAGTGATAATTTATTAAACTTCTTAATCCAGATGTATTGTTTTAGTTATCTTTTTTTCACTCTAGTGTTATAGTTTAAACTTGTTCTTTGATGTTGAAAATTTATTATAACAGTAATTTGTTTTGGCTGCACTCTACAATGTGTATTTCCAGATAAAATTAGTGTATCTAACTTTTTGACCATTTACAATAGGGGGAAAAAAGCTTGCTGAAAGTTCTCAAGATAACTAGGAAAATATCAATGAGATATCTAAAAGAAAGGAAGAGGGGTCTGGAAGATTACTACCACTCTCTTTCCTTATATATTTTTTGGGACTTCTGAGGTGCTTTTATGCTTCTTGTTCTGTGTGAAATATATGTATATACACACACACACACACACAAAAGTACTTACAATGCATGTTCTCGCCTCAAAAAAGATGTCAACTTATTTATGAGAAATAGATCCTACTTTTATGACAAAGCAAAATAGAAACATGACAATAAACCAATGTGATAAAGCACTGCTGAAGTTCAAAAGTACCTATGATACCTAAGTGTACTCATTTGGTTTGGATCAACCAGAAAGTCTGGTGACAAGAGGTAGAGCTTACTTGGTAACTTAAAGAATTAGAAGGTTTGGAAATGAAGAGATAGCAAGAATAGCTAAAGAAGAGGAAAACAGCATTGCCTATAAGTAAGGAGATGATAAAGTTTAGGGACTATTCAGCAAATAATAAATAAATTGATTTAGAGCAGAAGAAATCATGTATTGGAATGGCAGCTTGAAACAAGTTAGGTGTTAGGGAAGAGAATATTAAGAGACAAGTGGGAGATAGAACTTTTAAATGCTGCACTAAGGATTTTGGATTTATTCTCTTGGTAAGGGAGAGCCAGCCAAGGCTTTTCTACAAGAGAGGTATGATGCAAGCGCCGTGATGCTGAGTCAGTAGGGGGATCAGTGAGAATAGGAAGACATCAGGGCTGGGGAAGAGGAAAGCTTAGTTTAAGCATGAGATAATTATACCAGGATGATGGTAATTGTTGTGTTAAGATAGGGATGAATAAGAAATATTTCAAAGGTATAAGTGATAAGGTTGTTGACTGACTGAACTTAAGGAACAAAGTAAAGAGCAGAGTCAAAGTGGCAGAGGCTATATCCAGGGACCACAGCTACATATCTGGCCTTTTCTATGTCTCAGGGTGAAGATGCCTTTCTTATTCACTATTTCTCTCTTTCAATCCTCCCCACCACCATACAAAATCACAGCCCATCTATGCTTGACATGCCTTCATGTAGAACCCTGTGACTATCTCTCCAGTGAGAAAGTAGGTTTAATCCCTTAATAGTCCTTGACTCATAACAGTAAGTTCTTATTTTATATTTAAGACTGGCGTGGATGACTTTTACTTAATATTTGTCCTTTGCAATTTAATGCTAAGGTGATGATATTGAGTGGCCACTTCACAATATTTACCTGTTCTGTGTCAGAAACACTTCTATAAAAGGCCTGGAATTATTAATTTATACAAGAACATAAAATTTTATATCGAATCTATAAACAGTTTAATACAATAAGGAAAATTTATAATTTCAGCTTTGGATCTGAATTTCATTTGAAGGCATGCATATGGGTTACTAGTTGGCTGAACAATCAGGACTGGAAAAGCATACCTGGAAATTATTGACATGGATGAGGAGTTGTTGATACCCTGTGTGAATGAACTTTGGGAAATGCAGATGGAGGACAGGAAGGAGCAGAGAATAGAAAGCATGAAAGCTAGCCCTGTAGGCTCAAAATTGCTTTCAGTTTATTTTAAATTCCTCTTTTATTCACTTAGAAATATGATTTTTGAATTTGTGTTTATTGCAACAAAATTATACCATAAAAAGATTTAATAGTTAGGAGTTTTTTTTTTTTTTTTTTTTTTTTTTTTTTTCTTGTAATTCAATTTTATTGTAACAGCAACCTAAGTAAAACAATGTAGGGTAGCACTGCCACCACATGGCTATTTTTCAGTTCTTCTTTTCTGGCATTTTTTTCTAAGGCAACGCGATAGTAAGTACGACTTTTGTAGGTATATTTCAGGTTCAGCAAATCATCTGTACTTGAGAATCTTCCAGTTTAGTTAAAGTCTTCATTTTAAGTAGGAAAAAAATTAAATTGATAAGAAGGTGGCACAACGGAACCTGAAGGTAATGCGGGTTCTTGTCCTGAAAGGAATGTAACTGTTTGTAATGAAAACTGACATGTTGAGGTGCTGCTGTAACCAAATGTGTGTCCTATGGCTCAGAGGGTTGGGTGAAGTTCCAGTATTAAGTTAATGTTTCATCAAGCCTTTTTCGTTTTAAAGCATTTCTTTGACTCTTTGTCATCCTCTAGTTTTTTCCACATCTGTCTTTTTCTTTCAAACTGAACTTTTGTGAAGAAAACATTATATTTGATTTCCCTATAATAGTACTTCCTGCTTACTCAGCACTCCTTGAATATCCTTTTGACAAAGGTTATTAATGGCCACTCTTTCACTTAAATCCAATGGGCACTTATACTTTGACTGAACCCATTCTTACCTTGCTCTGATTTTTCTGCTGTTAACATCATTGGCTGCTCCCAGTCTTTACCATATTCTGTCTTCATGGCTTCAGAGTCCTGCCTCTTCGGTTTTCTGTTGTCTCAATGGCTATTCACATCTTTCCTGTCAAAGCCATGCTTCTCTTACCCACCCCTTAAAATGTGATTTTTCTTGTTGTTTTAGCCTTAGCCCTTTTTCTTTCTGTTGACAATTTTCTCTGGATAGGTCATCTATTCCCATGGCTTCAACTATCACCTATTGGGAGTGACTCCCAGAATTATATCTCCAGCTCAGATCTTTCATCTGAGCTCCAAATCTACATATTCATATATTCATCTTGGGCATCCCACATGCTTTTTTTCTTTTTCTTTTTCTTTCTTTCTTTCTTTTTTGAGACTGAGTTTTGTTCTCGTTGACCGGCTGGAGTGCAATGGCATGATCTCCGCTCACTGCAACCTCTGCCTCCCAAGTTCAAGAGATTCTCCTGCCTCAGGCTCCCGAGTAGCTGGGATTACAGGCATGTACCACCATGCCTGGCTAATTTTTTGTGTTTTTAGTAGAGACAGGGTTTCTTCATGTTGGTCAGGCTAGTCCCGAACTCCTGACTTCAGGTGATCACCCACCTCGGCCTCCCAAAGTGCTGGGATTACAGGCTTGAGCCACCAAGTCCGGCCGACATCCCACATGTTTCTAAAGTTTATCATGTCCAAACTTTAGTTGCTTACTCTCCTCTGTTCTTTAAAAATTACCCAGTCTGAGGTATCCCGTTAGAGCAGTACAAAATGAATGAAGACAGCATCTGTGCACATAATTAGAAACTGATAAATGTCTGTTGAATGAATGAATGAATGAATGAATAAAAGATTGGATAAATGTTCTCTCTCCTTTGCATTCTCATGACAAGTTAGAACCCGTTTCCTCTAAACACGAATTTTTTATTTTATTTTATTATTTCAGTGTTCTGCCAATGGATTTATGACCCAGACTGTCAACAACTCTAGCCAAGGTTTTTGTGGCACTGTGGGCTCAGGAATGAAAAATGGAGGGCAGGAAACCATTGAAATGATGAAAGGAGGAAACCAGACCTTGGAATCCTGCCGGGGGGCTGGGCACCATCACACCCTGGATTCCTGCAGGGGAGGACACACGGAGGTGGACAACTGCAGATACACTTACTCGGAGTGGCACAGTTTTACTCAACCCCGTCTCGGTGAAGTGAGTTTCCTTAGGTGTTTTGACTCTAAAATTTAAATCTCCAAATGCAGAAAAATAGAAAATCCAAATTAACATATATTTTCAGAAACTGCTTTTCCACACTGTTCTGTGGGCCCTCTCTTGCTTGCTTTGTTCATTTTCCTGTGCTCTTTGATTTTGTTACATTATTTAATTTAAAAGAAATTTTGTGTAGTTTGTCATATTTCACTTAATTTATAGAATCCCATGAATATTGGAAGTTTTTATTTTTATTATTCTTCACTAATGTCTCATTTTTAGTGGTGCATTTACCTCATGAAACTTTTTGATATAGAAGAATGTGAAAACAATTCTAGTTCCTCACAATTAAAAACTTTTCAAATGAAATCTGTATTTCTCTGTGAAAACACAAACATTCATATGCAGTTTTAGGATAAAGATTAAATAGCATGATTTATATATATTTTTTATCTTATTGCATCTTATTGCAAATTGACAAATTATAATTGTATATGTTTATGGGGCACAAAGTGAAATGATTTATGTCTGCAAGGTAGGATGATTAAATCACACAACATATGCATCACCTCAAATACTTTTTTTTTGTGGTGAGAACATTTGAAATGTACTTTCTTTGCAATTTTGAAATGTACAATATACTATTATTAACCACAGTCACTATTGCATGACATGTTTTAAACATACAAAGCACCATGCAAATATAAAGTGCTTTTACTCTAAGGAAAGCAATAATATAAAAGAAGGAATTAAAATAAGGAATTATCTGTTCACATCAAGATCCCCTAGGAATTTGAAGCTTTTTAATTTTTTAATTTTTTCTTTTTTTAAGACAGGCTCTTGCTTTGTTGCTGAGGCTGGAGTGCAGTGCTGCAATCTCTGCCTACTGCAGCCTTGACCTCAGGGGCTTAGGCAATCTTCCTATGTCAGCCTCCTGAGTAGCATGGACTACAGGTGTGCACCACCACACCTGGCTAATTTTGTATTTTTTGTGGAGAGGGGGTTTTGTCATGTTGCCCAGGTTGGTCTACAATTGCTAGGCTCAAGGGATACACCCATCTTGGCCTCCCAAAGTCCTGGGATTATAGGCGTGAGCCACGGGGCCTGGCAAAATCCCCTATGAAGTTTTAAAACATGCTAATGTCTAAAAGATTCTAATTCAATGAATTTGGGCTTTTTTGTTTGCTTTGTTTTTGTTTTACATTTCTGAGATGATTCAAATGTGCAGCTAGGTAGAAAGCCACTTGATTCTTCTGGTACTAAATTTTTACCTCTTTTATCAGAGGATACCAGTGCCATTGCAGCACAAACACTGGACCTTTAATCCTTGGATGGAATACAGATGGGTGATTTTCCGGTATAGGGTTGTATGTTATGTATCCATAGAGTTTTGGAGGGTCAAATTCAAGTGTTAATTCTTTTTCTACTTCTTGACAGTCAGTATTCATATAAGATCAGGTTGAGATGGAGTGAAGCTTAAGACACAGTCTTAGGAGGGTTCCTCCATTGCACACCAGGTAATGGGTAATGGCTAACAACGTCATGAGGAAAGACACAACGTAAGCCATGCCAGTGAGCTCCACATAGGCAAGGAGTGGGCACACGGAGGGGGAAAGGGAGGAGGCACAGCAGTTGACGAGTTGGCAGACAGGCCAGTGGTGTGGCAGACAGGGCAGATGTAACTGAATGCACGGCCTCTTCATTATAAAAGCCCAGTTTTTGCAATGTGATTATGTTCATTATTTTTAATTCCATTGAACTTTTTGGTGCATCTATATATTTTGCCATATTTTGGCTATCTTGGAAACTTGATTTTGAAGTTAATGCAGTAAATCCTACCTACTTTATAACTGCATATAATAGTGATTCTAGTTAACATTTATTGTACATTTAATATATGCTGGACATAATACATGTATTATGCATTATTATTTTGTCATTAATTTCTAAAATAATCTTGTTAGGCGGTTACTGAAATGAAAAGATATTTGGCCACTTGCCCAAAGCCATATAGCTAGATGATAAAGCCACAGTTTTGACTCATAGCCAAGACTGTTTGACAGCCAATCACAAACTCCGAACCAGTATGCCTGTTGTCTCTGTTTTTGGACTAGCCTGACCTTTGTATATAAAATTCAGGGATAAGCATTTAATGCTAACTTGAATGTACTTAAATATAACCCTTGTATATATAATTTTTTATTTATATGGATTAATAGAAATGTAAAATATACTGACTTTATGGTATGGTTATAATATAGACCAATCATGTGCATTTTTTGTGTGTAGGAATCCATTAGAGGACACACTGGTTAAAAATTAAACATAAAAGGTAAATAAAAATAAATTTTATGTTCATATATTTAAGTTGTTTAAAACTATAATACAATTTGTTTATTTAAAAAATTTTACAGAAATTGCATCGATGTAATCAGAATGAAGACCACATGCCATCTCAAGATTATGTCCTCACGTATAACTATGAAGGAAGAGGATCTCCAGCTGGTTCTGTGGGCTGTTGCAGTGAGAAACAGGAAGAAGATGTCCTTGACTTTTTAAACAATTTGGAACCCAAATTTATTACATTAGCAGAAGCATGCGCAAAGAGATAATGTCACAGTGCTACAATGAGGTCTTTGCCAGACATTCTGGAGGTTTCCAGAAATAATATTGTGAAGTTCAATTTCAGCATGCAAGACTATGATGATTTTTTCCCTCAATTTTCAATTATGCTACCCACCAATTTGTATTTTTAAACCAAGTTGTTGATTATCTTTTCCAAGAAGTAAAAAATATTAAAACAGACCAATGGTAAATCTCAGGCTGCAGCATTGGATTTCAGGTCTCTAAATCATTTGCTCTTTGTTACAGATGTTTTCCTAATAAATATGTTGGATAAATATTAGTCCAACAATAGCTAAATTATGATAATATCACATTATCATATATTCACTTAGAGTGATAATTTAAAAAATAAACAAGAAATATCGGGTATCACTATGTGAAGAAAGTTTTGGAAAAGAAACAATGAAGACTGAATTAAATTAAAAATTTTGCAGCTCACCAAGGATTGGGACTCACTCCTATTGCACTACCAAATTCATTTGACTTTGGAGGCAAAATTTGTTAAAGTGACCCATGAAGTAGCAATTTTCTATAGAAATATAATTGGAAATAAATGTGTGTGTGTATATTATTATTAATCAATGCAACATTTAAAATGAAATGAAAACAAAAAGGAAAATGGTAATAATTTGAAATGAGATGGGTATAGTTTGTCTTATAATAGAAAAAAGAGAGAGCTAGGCCTAGCTCTCAAATGCTGCATTATAACTGAGTCTATCAGGAAATAGTTCATGTTCATTTGTGTAATTTGTTTAAAATTGTAAACGAATTAAACTTTTCTGATTTCTGTGGGAAGGAAAGAGGGAACCGGATAGAATGGTAGGTTTGCTTGCAGTCTGTGCAAAGATTTCTGTATCCACAAGTTGGTAGCAAACTGGGGAATATTCACTGTAGCTAGGGTTCCCTGCTTTTTGGTAGCAAGAGTCCAGAGATGGGTTGCTTTTTTTGGGGGGTGCTAATAACAAAAACATTTTAAAACTTACCTTTACTGAAGTTAAATCCTTTATTGCTGTTTCTATTCTCTCTTATATTGACCAACATCTTTTTAATTTAGAACCAAATAACATGTCTCCCTAGAATTTAGAGGCTAGAGGGAGCTGAGGGGGTGGATCTTACTCACCCAGGGGAGATGGACTGTCCTTAGACCTAAAACCCACAGACTTGACACCTGATCAGGGCCTGGGAGCTGCAAATTTCATTTCCCTCCTCATTGCCCTTCTTCTGAGTGGCGTTGGTGGGAATCAAGGAAAGCTAGGCCTTGTGGGCCCCCTTCTTTCAGGTTTCGGCTAACATTGTCAGCAACACCTCCAGTGGAGACCCCCTTAAGTAACAAATACTCCAGGCTTTCCATCATCATTTAGTTAATTAATTAACTAATTAATTTTTAATCAGTTTGCTTTCTCCAGAGAAATTTTAAAATAATAGAAGAAGCAGAAATTTTGAATGTATGAAAGAAAAAGAACAAGCTGCCATTTTAGAACAGAGGGAACGTTGGGAGAAGGCAGCCCAAGTAGGGTGTTTGGACAGTCAGAGGGCAACATGAAGACACAGGCCTTCAGGAGCAAGGGGATGCCACAGGCCATATGGGTGGTAGGAAAGGCCACATTGTCTGCTTCATACTTTTTCCTAGGCTTGGCACACTGCCTTTTCCTTTTTTTCTCAGGCCAATGGCAACTGCCATTTGAGTCTGGTGAGGGATCAACCTCTTTTTGGCTCACCTTATTTGGAGTGAGAAATCAAGGAGACAGAGCTGACTGCAATGAATCTGAAGGCATTTGCAGGATGAGCCTGAACTGGTTGTGTAGAACACACAAGGCATTCATGGGAAATGCTGTATTCCTTCTGTAGCCCTCTGGATGCTAAGAAACTCTGTCAATTAAATGCGTATCTAAAAATCGGATTATTTCTACATTTTCTGTTTTCCAATTTGATATTGAAATCTATGTGTTTTAGACTTAGACTATTTATTTTCATTTTAAGTCTTCTTCTTTTAATGTCATCATTTTGAGCATGTGTGAAAGTTGATCACGAGAACCGGATCAATCTTGAAATACTCAACTAAAGACAGTCAAGAAGCCAGGGGGAGAAAGAGCTCAAGGCACAAACTATTGCTCTGAGAATGGAATTCTCTGCAAGTCTAGTTGCTGAAATTGCCTGCTGTAACCAGAAGGCAGTTTTATCTAATAGCTACTGAAACAACCCCTGTGTTTTGCGTACTCCCTCACTCACCAATCAAAACCTGCCACTTCTCCAAGACCTCACTAGTGCCGATAAACTTTCTCAAAAAGCAACCAGTACGACTTCCCTTTTTGTAAAACTTCTAACCATCTCTTTGTTCTTTGGACATGCTGAAAACCACCTGGTCTGCAGGTATGCCCTAATTTGCCACACTTTTCTCCCAAATAAAAATTTAATTTTAGGGATTCATTTCTATATTTTATTTGACTTTCACATATGTAGTATTATTTCCTTATATGTGTAAGGGGAAGTTTGTGCTATTTGAATGTGCAGGAAAGTATATTTTTAAAACTTTCTTTTTTTCCCCCAGTGAATGCTTTTGAATTTTTTATGTAAATGTACAGATTGTTTTTTCTTCTTTTCATAAGGAAGCAGCCATCTAAAATGCGGTGGAGTTTGTTATACAATGTTTTAAACAGAGCTTTAATATTGCTATTAAAAGAAGTGACTTTTTTTTAAAGAAACGGCTGGTTAAAATAAGCAGAAATTGGATGTGTAAAGTAATATTTACAGATATGGGGGATGTAATGGAACAAGGTCAATTTGGTTTCTTGTTTTTGCTGTATTGAGAGATTAAATAATTCTAAGATGATCACATTGCAAAATTGTGCTTATGGCTGGCATGGAAATAGAAATGCTCAGTTATGTCTTTGTTGTATTAATGGGAAATATTTTGTACAATGGGTCATTATCAAATTGTCAATATCATAACATATAATGTTGGGAAGAGATCACTATTTTGAAGCACAACTTTGCAAATGAGTATGTATACATATATATAATAAATTTTGATTATTAATCGTATTAGAAGGTGGTTATAATTGCAGAGTATTCCACGAATAGTACACTGACACAGAGGATTTACTTTGAGGAGCAGTGTAGTCAAGGGAAAGCATGAGTTAAAAAGAAAAGCAGGCAACATTGCAGTCTTGATTCTGCCACTTACAGGGTAGATAACGCCTGAACTTTAATCATGAGATGATCCAACCAAATAAGGTGCTGTGTGCTTCACAATGAATCTTTTCCCCACACATGAGTGTGCTCTCCTACAAACGTAAGATGCATCATTTCAAAAATATATTTGTTATATCAAAAGCCTTAAATTTTAGTGTAAGTTGAACCAAAATGTTCAATTCCAGTGACTTCTATTGTAACCATTATTTTTGTGTATGGCTTCAAGAATGTTCATTGGATTTTTGTTTGTAATAGCAAAGTACTGGATAAATTTCACGTGCCCCTCAGTATTGATTTGGCTGAATATTGGTTCGTAACGGTTGGGAAGCATGGACCCTAGAGCCAAAATGCTTGGATATGAATCCTGGATCTGTCGCTTACTTTCTGTGTGACCTTTGAAAGGCTGCCGGTTCCCTCTCTTAGCTTTCTCATTGCTGAAATCAATGAACAAGGGCAACCTCATGGGGTTGTTTGATGATTAAGTTAGTTAATATACTTAAAGTACATAGAACATTGCCTGCACATAGTGAAAGAATTGCAAGCGTGAGGTAGGTGGTAAAATTATGTAGTGGGATATACTACCAAACAATATCTAATCTCTTTTTAGGGGAATAAAGTTTGTGCATATATATATATATATATATAATGCAAAAACATGATTTCCAGACAATGGAATTGATAATTTATGCTTTCTGTATTGATTTTTCACAATGAACATTGATAACATTAATTTTATTTTAAGTTCTGGGAGACATGTGCAGGACGTGCAGGTTTGTTGCATAGGTAAATGTGTTCCATGGTGCTTTGCTGCACCTATCAACCCAATTTTCTTATTTGAGAAAAAGGTTAATACCAACCTAGAGAGTTTCTTTTGGCTCTTATATTATTTAGAATGAGGCTTGGTTTCATGGGCAGAAAAATTAAATAGTATTCAGAATACGTTTACAGTCTTCTCTATTCGACAGTTTATTTTGATTGCACAGGTTCGAATCTCAGAACCTCATTTTCCCTTTACTTAAAAAAGTAGTAAAATTCATAAAACATGGTTATGAGTGGTTAAAATTCATCATTTCCACCATTGTAAAGTGTATATTTCAGTGACATTAGTACATTCAAAATGTTGTGCACTGTTATCACTATCTAGTTCTGGAACATTTTCGTCACCCCAAGAGGAAAGCTTTTAAGCAATCATTCCCCTCTTCCCTCACTGCATTGTCTTCTGGCCACCACTAAAATCTTTTCTGTCTCTCTGGATTTGCCTACTCTGAACATTCATATAAATGAAATCATACATATGTAGCCTTGTGTGTCTGGCTTCTTTCACTGAAATGAGGAAGTTTCATGCATCCCTTTAGCTGGAATGAAATCCTAGGATATCTGAAAAGACTTGTTCAGACTTTTCTCAGAAACAAATATGACTATCGGTCTTCTATCAAATTCAAAGTGAGTAGTTTTAAAAGGAAAATCAAATGACATAAAGCAAAAATCAATCTGATAATGAGTATAACAGTATATATAAATACTTGTTATTTGTGGAAGCATCATACCTTTTTGGCAAAAATTTACAGCTATAAAAATTGGCTAACGTAAACAGTCACAAAGAAAACTGACAATGCAAATACTATCAATGGTTTAACTTTAAATAAGCAACCAATTAATCAAATGATTCAGTTTTGTATTGTGAAATATAAGCAGAAAATTATTCTTATTACAATAATTTTAATGAAATAAAAAAATTAGTTTAACTTTGCTTTGGAAAAATTAAAATTGTTTAATTTTATTTAAGCTGAAAAATATCTTTTGGATAAAAATTTCTCAATCCAGGCAAAGTTCTAATTATAGTATCTATACTTAAAATGGTAAAAACCTTCTAAAAAGTTGAAACTTGCTTGAAAATCTGCTGTTGTTCAGATCTGAACTATCCAAATGGATCCATCTTTCTGTCAAGCTGCTCTGTACATTAGTCAGCATGTTGTCTAAAATAGAATCAATTTGGGAGGGTAATGTCTGCTGAAAATAACATGCTACATTGCTATGCCAGAACACTTTCTGGGTAACACCATTGAACATCTTTAGGGAGTCCTTGCCTAGACTTTATACATTCATATTCAGAGTGGCTTTCAGTGAAATACTAGCCTCTGCTCCAAAATTAATTCACCAAAAACATAGCAGCATCAAATCTACTTAAAAATTATCACATTTGCCTCTATATAAGATTCCCTTTCTCCTAGACTTCGCTTGTTGAGTTTCAAGAGATTCCCCAGGAACTTCTGCCCCTGTCTGTTGGCTGCCCAACATTTTACCTTCCAGAGAACAGAGAGATGACAGGATATAGTTTGGGCAATGGGGGAGATCTGGGAAGATGGGGAAGAAATTAGCTATTTTTCTGCAAAAGTATGAGATTATAATACACATAGAAATTCTGTAACCCTTTTTCTTCTTTTCTGGTAGTTCAACTTGTTCTTATTTCCCAACTCCCATCCCATTTAAGCAACTATGTGTCTCTGTTTGCTAGATACTATCTAGGTAAATCATAAAATTAACATGGAAATTCCTGGTCTGAAGCTCCCAGGTGACCATGACCAGAGTAAGGGCTGCCTCAGTGACCACCTGTGTCAGTTTATGTCCAAACGTCAGATGCTGTCCTTACCTAGAACTCTTATTACCCTATAGGAGCAGGCAAAATCTACACTCAACCTCAGAAACATCAGGCTGAAGATAAACCCCAAAAGACTTAGATTTATCTTCTACTACTTTGGCTCAGTTAGGACTTGAAATAGAAATTGACTAACAGAAAAATGAAAGAAGTTAAATTTCTGGAACATAAGAGAAGTGAACTGAGATTCTTACCTACTAGTCAAACAAAAGGACAACTGGAAATTAATGAAAGAGAGGCAATAAACATTTTCTTTCAAGATAAACTGATTTGCTTTCTTCATTTTTTTTTTTTTTTTGTGGAGGGTAGCTTATGTAAGTTCCAAGTGAGTCCTCAAGGTGGGAGAACCTTGGTGTTCTGCCTTTGCCTCTGGGCACCAGTGTGCATGGCTCCCTTTCAAGTATCTACAAGAAAGTGGGGAACACACCCTTCAGTGACTCAGACCTCTCCCATACCCATGAACAAACAGGAATAGACATGTGGGGTTGGACAGACACATTGACAGTGCCAGGATTGTTGTTACCATATACAACTTCAAAGAGAAAAGGATCTTCAGAAACCAATTTGAAGAAAGCTACAGCTACAACTTACCCATTTAAGAATATTTCTCTGCCCCCCATGCACAATAAAACCACAGTGGGAGGAAAATACGCACTTTGAATACTATAAACCAGTGTTTTTATTAGTTCAAACTAATAGATGAAATGTGATTCCACAAGGAATCTGAATATTTTGCTACTGAATTCTCATGTAATTTATATTGATTTTATTGTGTTATTTTCCAAATGCCTTAAGGTAAATTTGTGTTGTGCAATGCAAATGTATAATTTATTTTATTAAAAAATAGATTTTAGTTTTAACCTTAATAGATTCAATTCTTTTACATATGTAATCTGATTCTTCCTACACTGCATTATTGGTTATAAAATAGTGCTGTGACATTAAAATTATGGCTCATAGACTTTTCAAGTTTCTGTGACATGATGTGATGGGTTCCAAGCTAAAGAGCAATTTCACAGAAATTTCTAATACACTAAGGTCTCTCAGTTTCTTTTTCTTAATGTGAATCATCGCAGACACTTTAAAGCAGACATATAATAATACAAGTTTATTTGGGGAAATTTGAAAAAAGATCTTAAGCATATAAGGCATAGGAAGAGAAAAAACAGAAGAAAGAAGTGACATGAATTTTCCTAGAATTTTGGTTTACTCACATTTTTGTTCTGTGGTTCTACCTTGGTGAAGCAGGATATTTCTGATCCACAAAGACTGTGATGTCTCAGAGGAGTGTAACATGAATACCTCTCTCAGTCTAAACTTAAATGCTTCAAAAGAATGACACTCACCTCATCCTTTTGATCCAGAAAGATCACATATCATTTAGAAGGAATTAGATTTTATTTATGTGTTAACTTAGGCTACAAATTGTATCATCAATCACAAATTCAGATGGAGAAAATATGCTTTAATTTTTTCATAACTTTTTTCTTTATCTTGACATCCTCCCCATTTAGGCAGGTAGCAAGAATGAAATAAAAACATAAATTTATTAGATTAAAATTAGACTTCTCCTCATTCTTCTACTCCTAGATTGTGTCTGAATTGCAAGGATTATATGCCCCTTCAATTAACTGGAAATCAGAGTGAAGGATTTCTGCTCTTCAGATCTTCAGATCGAGAACCTCTCAAATTTTTTTAAAAAATAGTATTTTGTACTAGTACTTCAAAAGTTGTAATTTTTAAATCTAACCAATCTTTCTAATCAGATTTTCTTGGTAATCCAATTAAACAAATGATGTCAGCAAGCTAGAGTAATTTCCTATCTCCAATCTATACATCAACATGCATACCAAACGTGTAACAATAGAATCAGATTATTGTCTTGATAGCTGAGGATTAGGCAACAATGATACAAAGAGAAGGACAACACATAAACACACACACGTACACACACACTCGCACACAGACACACATGCACACACACGCATACACACATGCACACACAGATACACATGCACACATGCACACGCACACACGCATACACACATGCACACACAGATACACATGCACACATGCACACACACATACACGCATGCACACATGCACACACATATACACCCATGCACACACACAGACTGACAGACATGCACACACATACACAGACACGCACATAGCACACATGCATACACATGCATGCACACACATGTACACACAGGCACATACACACATGCATGCACACCCAGGCACAGACATACACACACACACACAGACAAAATACAATCTGCAAGTTTGGAAGCAACTTATGTTTTAAACAGGTACAATAACTGTTTGACTCACCATGAGAAAAATGTATAACTTTCCAAGTGACCTGGGTAAGCTACTTAGTTTCTCTGTGTTTCAGTTCATTGTCTAAAACAGGGTTCTTCATTCAATTGTTCACTTATTCAGTCATTCAAACTTTGACAAGTATTTCCTGGTGAACTACCACATGCCAAGCACACACAGTTCCAGACGCTAAAGATGCAGCAGTGAATAAAATAGTCAAAATCTGTGTTCTTCTGTCAATTACATTCCAGAAACGAAGCGGAGACAGGTAATAAACAAATGCACAAATACATGTATAATACTTCGTGCAGCAATAAATAATATGAAGAAATATAAAGCAGAGTAAGGAGCATAGAGAATGATGGCAGGTTTTTATTTTATTAAGAGTGGTCGAAGGAGGCCCTTACGAAAGGGCAGTATTTGAGTAGAGACATGAAGAAAGTGAACGGAAGTGAGGGAGAAAGCCATGTGGCATGGGGTAAAAACGAGGAGAGAAATTCTGGGGAAAGGAAACAGCTAATTCAAACGCCCTGAGGTGGCATTTTACTTGATGCATTTAATAAAGTAGATGTAGCTGAACTTGATTGAGAGGAAGAGTGGGAGGAGATGAAGAGGAGGCAACAGTGGGAAGCAGGGTGTGTAGGGTCATTGACTGTGATAGCAGATGGGAGGCCAGACATGGTGGCTCACGTCTGTAATCCTAGCACTTTGGAAGACTGAGGTGAGAGGATTGCTTGAGAACAGGAGTTCAAGACCAGTCTGTGAAACATAGTGAGACCTCATGTCTACAAAAAATTAATTAGCTGGTGTGGTAGCACACTCCTGTAGGTCCAGTTACTTGGGAGTTTGAGGCAGGAGGATCACTTGAGCCCAGTAGTTGGAGGCTACAGTGAGCTATGATTGTGCCACTGCACTCCAGCCTGGGTGACAGAATGAGATCTTGTCTCAATACAAACAAACAAACACAATTTAAAAAGTAATAATGATATGGGATCTCACTTTGAATAAGATCTATTGAATGGTTTTGAGCAGAGAGACATGTGCTATAATAGCTTCTGCACCATAGGTTAAATGTTAGTACATATATTTTCTTCTTTCTCTTCCGTTTCATCTTCTTTCATCTTCTTTCTTTGACTTCTCTTCTTTTTAAAACACTTTTTTTTTTTTTTGAGACGGAGTCTCTCTCTGTCTCCCAGGCTGTAGTGCAGTGGTGTGATCTCATTGCAACCTCTACCTCCCAGGTTCAGGTGATTCTCTTGCCTCAGCTTCCCAAGCAGGTGGGATTACAGGTGCACACTACCATGCCCAGCTAATTTTTGTATTTTTAGTGGAGATGGAGTTTCACCATGTTGGCCAGGATGGTCTCAAACTTCTGACCTCAAGTGATCCACCCTCCTCGGCCTCCCAAAAGGTTAAGATTACAGGCATGAGCCACCATGCTCGGCCCATTCTTAAATTTATAAGAAACGCTTCACAAATTTGTGTGTTATCCTTGTGCTGGGGTCATGCTAATCTCTGTAATTTAATGTACAATTTTAGTAAATGTGTTGCAGAAACAAACACTCGTTTAATTTTCTTCTCCCCAGTCTTCTGCCTTCCCCTTCTCCTCCTTCCTCCTTTAGTGTTATTTTTTCTGCTTATTTGCTCTAACTCAGAGTTAGAAGTGAGTTTGCATCCTGGTTTGTCACTTGCCAGATGCCTTATTTGCATGTCATAGAGGTGGCCCCATGTGAATGACTCTGGCATATCACAGGGAATATATAAAAAGGCATGAACCAGCAAGTGTTTTTGAGAACCTAAGCTGCCAGGATCAACATTTGGCATCTTCTTCTTCTTCTAATAGTGGGACTCTAACTGGCCTTCTAACGTATCTTCACAGTAATGAGCCTGATCTGATTTCAGATCTGATGTTTTCCCTTCAGCCAGCTTATATCGCCTTGGAATGTTTTGTCTCCACCTTAAGTCAGTCCACTCTTGTTACAATGCTTGGAAAACATCACTTTCACACAGAGTCTGCATGTCCTTACGAACCTTATGCTATGTATTGGTCCATCTGTATTCCTCAGTCTAGGTTATTTTTTCATTTTTGCACCAACAGTTCCACAATTTACTTGCTGGTAAGAAAGATAAAAGATGACATTTAGTATAAATACAGGTAAGGACACTCACTTGTCAAATTGTTTTACTATGGAGTTAATTCTATCGCTGGGTTTATATATGTATCCAAATAACATGTTTTAGATACTTTTTGGAGGTGTCAAACATGAGTAATGTATGATATGGCAATTATTGATCCATTTACTTTATTGCTAATTACTTCAGCTGTATGTTGATTCACAGTTAATATGCTGTTTTATTTGCTTTGCTTTTCCCTTCTCTATTTAAAACCAGATGCTTTATTTTACATACCGTAAAATCTCAGTGCAATTCAGGTGTGGTGGGCAGATATTTATAAGTCCTTTCCTCCTGCTGTTTCTACATGAATCAAATCAATGTACTTGGTCAGGCGTGATGGCTCACATCTGTAATCCCAGCACTTTGGAAGGCCAAGGTGGGCGGATCACTTGAAGCCAGGAGTTCGAGACCAGCCTGACCAGCCTGGTGGAACTCCCATCTCTACCAAAAATACATAAACATTAGCTGGCAGTAGTAGTGCATGCCTGTAGTCCCAGCTACCTGGGAGGCTGATGTAGGAGAATGGCTTGAACCTGGGAGGTGGAGGTTGCAGTGAGCCGAGATCATGCCATTGCGCTACTGCCTGGGCGACAGAGCAAGACACATCTTTAAATAAATAAACAAACAAACAAACAAACAAACAAATAAATAAATGTACTTGAGATAATTTTCATGATAAAATTTATTTATTTTCCATACCTTGTCAACATTAGGTGAAAAAACCCAGTTTGGGATTGTGGCATAGTTTTTTCTTAATTCTGTTAAAAATTCTGTAAAATTGGTGAGGTTTTCATCATCAGTCATGTAAAATTGATGAAGACTTCAGAATAGAGAGAGATCTAATGACTTTTTGGAAAATACATAATAAAGTTAAAATGGCAATAAACGCTAGATTGATTTCAGATTCAACACAATTCGGATCAGGATTCTAGCTCATTTCTTTGTAGAATTCGACAAACTGATACTAAAATTGTTAAGGAAACTCAAGTGACCTACAATAGCCAAACCAAATGAAAAAGAAATACAAAGTTGGAGCATCACACTTTCTGATTGCAAAAGTTACTGTAAAGCAAGGTAGTAAAGACAGTGTAGTAATAGCAAGAGTATCGATATCTCTTTTGGTGAGAAGACCTCAGACTATAATTGCTAGATCACGTGTTTAATTTTTGAGCACCTGTTAAAATGTTTTCCAAAGCAACTGTACCATTTTACACTCCCACAGTAAATGAGGGTTCTGATTTCATCACACCCTTTCCAGTGTTTATTTTCTCTCTTTTTTGGCTACAGCCATTCTAGTGGGTATGAAGTGATATTTCATTGTATTTTTAATTTGCAATTACCTGATGACTAATGATATTAAACATTTATTCAGGTGCTTATTGGCTATTTGTATATCTTTTTTGGAGACATCTTTTCCCATTTTAAAGTGGGATTTAAAAAATAAATACTGAGTCATAAGCGTTCCTCATGTGCTTATGGTAAATATATCCTTCACGAGGTGTGATTTGCAAGTATTTACTCCCATTTTGTGGATTGTTTATTCACTTCCTTCATAGTGTTTTTGAGGACCACATGTTTTTTTAATTTTGGTGAAGCTGTTTTATCTAATTTTGTTGTTGTTGTTGCTTGTGCTTTGATGTCATATCTAAGAAACCAGTGCCAAATCTGAGCTCACAAAGATTTACACCTATAGTTTCCACTAATAGCTTTACAGTTTTAACACTTATATTTAAGTGTTTTATCCATTTTGAGTTAATTTTTGTTTAGGATATAAGGTATGGATTCATTTTTCTTTCCTTTTGCTGGATCCGGTTGTTTCAAAACCATTTACTGTAAAGACTATTTTACAAAGAAGCCAGCTAGGATTCTGATAGGAATTGTGTTGAATCTGCAATCAATCTCAGGCTTCTTGCCATTTTAACAATATTATGTCTTCTGTTCCATGAATACGGGATATTTTTCCATTTATTATTAACTTTGATCTCTTTAAAAAAAGCTTTAGCTTTCAGGATATAAATTTGCAATTCTTTTGTTAAATTTGTTCCTAAGTTTTTTTGTTTTTTGTTTTTCTTTTTAGATGGAGTTTCCCTCTTGCTGCCCAGGCTGGAGCACAATCTCCACCTCCCGGGTTCAAGCAATTCTTCTTGCCTCAGTCTCCCAAGTAGCTGTGATTACAGGCACGCGTCACCATGCCTGGTTAATTTTGTATTTTTAGTAGAGGCGAGGTTTCTCCATGTTGGCCAGATTGGTCTCGAACTCCTGACCTCAGGTGATCCACCCACCTCGGCTTCCCAAAGCGCTGGCATTACAGGTGTGAGCCACTGCGCCTGGCCTCTAAGTATTTTTTAAAGATGCAAGTCATGGTCAGATTATTTATTACAAGTACATAAAAATACAATCATTTTGTGTATACTGGTCTTGTATTCTTTGTATCAATTTGTTTTAGGTTTCTCTTCTTGCATACTTGTATATTCTTAAAATAGATAATTTTATCTTGCTTCTTTTTCTAATCTGGAGGAATTTTTTTAAAAAAACAAGTGTATTAATGCTTTATTAATATTAAGTATATTTTTCACTTGTGGATATCAAAGTAATATAATATATACTATATTAAAGTAACATAATATATTAAAGTAATATAGTATAAAGTAGGTAGTGGTAAAATTAGCCTACTACCTTTTTTCTCTCTTTTTTTACATCTCTTCACTACACAATTTTAGTCAATATTATTGTCTTTCATAGTGTTTACCTCTGTACTTTTAAATATGCTGAGACTTCTGCTACTTGAATTGCCCTCTTTACACGACATATTAAATATTTTGAGTGTCGGTGACTATAGGTAAGGGAATTGGAATGCATGTTTTATTTTCTCCTATTTCCCCTTTTCACTTCCAGTTTTTAAAACAGATTTGTAATCTTCCCTTAGCTCTTTAAGCACATTTAAGACAGTTGTTTTACATTTTTTTGTCTGGTAAGTGTGATGTCAAGGCTTCCTCCCAGGCAGCTTTTGCCAATTTATTTCATTTCTTTGAATGAATCATGTTTTACTTATCCTTATATACCTTGTGATTATTTTGTTGTTGTTACAAATTGGGCATTTCATTATTATAATGCAGTAACTCTAAAAATCAGATTTTCCCCATTCTTCAAGATTTTCAATTTTTTTAATTGTTAAAAGCTTCAGTAGTGACATCTGTTTTGAGACATTTTTAAACCAGGCAGCAATTATTCTTGTTATGAGTACCCATTGAAGTCTCTCTTCCTTTAGCTCATGTTAAGCAAATGCTTTGGAAGAGATTTCCTTGAATGCCAGGAGCTGAAGCATAAACAAAAGCACCCTGCTCCTGCAGAAAAAAAAAAAAAAAAAAGACTGAAAAGAAAGAACAACCCTCTCCCAGTCTACACAAACTGACTTCATGCAGGAGCAGCCATTCACCTGTTAGCTAGGCTTGCTCTGAGCCTAGGCCTTACCCTGAAATCAAAGCTTAAGATCTTCTCAGGACATTTCTGAGCATGAATCTTGGTGGACATGCACTTGTGGCTTTTCTAAAACCCCTATGTGTGTAAGCAGTTGCTTTTCAATGTCTTAATTCCCAGAGTCTTACCTCAGCTTATCCCCTGGGCCTTAGATGGTCTATTGTGTGTGGTCTCTTATCCCAAGTGTATTTGGGTTTGTGATTCCTTATAGCTTTTATGAGGATCTTTTTATTTGCCTGTAGTTCAAACTATACCAGACAGAGACTAGCACATCGGTTCTTAAAATAACCTCCAACCAGTCTAGAACAGATATACACAATAATTTGCAAATAAGATATATTCTGCTCCGTTCAATTTGAAGATGAGAGGAACTTGAAACTGAGTTGTTTTGGTAATACCAAGATGGCCACCTGGCCAGGGAGGGAGTGGGGAAAGTGGAAAAATCACAAAAAGTTTCCTACTATTTTGGAGATCTCTTCTTGATTTGGCGTTTGCTTGGTTGCTACAAACCTTTGTTTTCAGAGCTCATTCAAAGTTGGTTTAGATCGTTTCAGGGTGTTGTGTGGTTGTTATTGTTCTTTTTAAATGTTTCTCTGGAGGAAAAGCGTTTGGACCTTTTTAGTCTGCCATTCTGCTGATGTTGGATTCTACAAAATTCTTAACTTTCCAAATGATTCCATTTGTTTTTATGTTTATATGCTGCTTCTGATATTTTATGTGTGCAAAGATGTGCTGGAAATAAAACAAAGAATGCATTGCTCAATGTCTAGAAGTTTAGCTTCATTCCCCACTGAGCCATGAGTGAAATGTTAAATCCTAATGACTCAGGCTCAGTGGTAGCATTTGTCCATAGAAATTATTTATAAAATATTTCCTGATTTTGATGATATTTATGTAAAATAGTTTATGAT